TTATGGCGTTAGGAACTTTCTTCTGGCTTCTTGCTTCCGAAAAAATTTAATGCGAGAGAAAGAGAGAGAAAGAAAGACTAAGAAAATTGACGTAGGTGGTGAGAAGTAGAACAAAAGAGGTATCTTGATGAAGAGAGAAGATATTGAAAATAGCAAGAAAAGAGAACTGGATGTTTTAAGAGAGAGAGAGAGAGGGCGAAAGAGAGAAAGATTAAGAAAATTGAAGGAGTAGGTGAGAAGTACAACGGAAGAAGTGTCTAGACGAAGAAAGAAGATATTGAAAATAGCAGGAAAATAGAATTGGAGGGTTTACGAGAGAGAAAGAAAGATTAAGAAAATTGAAGGAGGTGAGTGAGAAGTAGAACAGATCAGGTATCTAGATGAAGAGAGAAGGTATTGAAAAATAAGAGAAAGTTAGCGGAGACAGGGGAAAAAGATGGAAGGAAAGGAAACAAAATAAAATAAAATTGTGAAAGAGAAACAAGAAACTGCAAGAGTTATTGCGAAAGGACCAGACAACACACATTTTTTCTAACTTTTTTCCATTTTTATCGTTATTTTATTTTTTTTTTGTTTAGAATTTTTTCGTTCTTTTTTCTTTCAAGGTGAAAAAGAAGAAAAATAGAAAAAAAAATAGTATTTTTCACCTTTTAATTGTTTCTTTTGCTTTTTCCACAAAAGATAGCTAAATGGAAAATGTTGAGGTATAAAAAATGTTAGGCTTTGAAGGTCAAAAACATGAGTTGAGTTTTTTCTCTTTCTTTTCAAATCAGAGCCGAAATATTGGTCGTCTTTTACATGAGTCTATTGGTCGGATTTATACTTGCGTCTCTAGTAGTAGTCAAAATTTAATAAATTAGCTAGCAGCCGTCTTTCTTAGTTCATTGGAAGTGACGTGAACCAGTCTGTCCCACTGCCTGACTTTGAAACCCTATTTTTCCTGAGTTTATACTGAAATTGGTAAGTTGTCAGTGAGTGCGGTAGCATTGTCATTCACTTTGGTACTGGATATGTTTCGCTTAACCATGCATCTTATTTTAGAAATTAAGTTAACTGACGCCATTAAAATGTCGCTGTTAATGATATTAAGGAGATGTGAAGAATATGATACTTTTCAAGCAATTTAAGAAATATTTTTATTTTATTTTACCTTATTAATTAAACTAAACCTACTACTACAGACGCATGTATAAACACAACCAATGTTTATTTGTGGATTCAAGTATAGTAATAAGTAAATTTCATCATGAAAAATTACAGTAAGAGTTGATATGACGTAAAATCTAACTCGTATCCGATTTTAAAAAAAAGACATGTACTTTTCTAGCTTTTGTTCTAAAGAGGTCACTCATTTGCAATTAACCAGATTCGATGTTGTTTAATTTCCGATGATCGGTCGCTGAATCGAATGGCTTGAAGGTAAATCTAAGTTTCTCTTCTGTTATAAATGCCGCTTTTTAGTAATTAGATAGCCGGATCAGTGGGTGTTATTGTAAGGGGGGGGGGTAATGGTAGAGTTCTACCGAATGCAATTGTCTAGGTAAGCAGCCAATGAAAGTTGACGATTTTATGGCTGACTGGACCCTACGAAGTTTTGTACTTCATCAGTGTTTATATTTAATTGGTAAATGCAGAGAAAGAACTGAAATGTAATCGATCCTGGCATCTCGACATCAGTCACTTACTTACCGACGTGACGTGGCTTCCCTCTGTCTTTTCTACAAATATTTTCATGACAACCGTTCCGAGGAGCTTTTTTTCCTCTGGTTTCCGGACTACGTGAATTTAGATTGGCATCTGGGTCAAAGTTAAATTAGTTCAATGTAATCGCCACTTCTGATTCAACGGTTTTTTTTTTCTCGCACTGCCCTCCAAAGGAGCTCCCTTCCGTTTAATTACTTCCATGATAACTACAATCTTGAAAATTTTAAATGCAACGTCAATCGCTATCTTCTATCTACTTGAAATCCGTTCAGCTTTTATACTTTCCTCGCCACACTATACCCAGTCATTTCTCTCACCTTCAATCTCTGGACAACTGCCATTCCCGCCTTGCTTGGGTGAAATGATTAAAAAAATAATTAACTAAAATTTAACTGGTATATTAAAATTTAATTCAAATCTAGGCTCACTTGGAATGAACTGCACAGAAATGAACAACGGTTGATTTAAAACAGATAACAAATATTTAACAAGGTATGTCGTTTTAAGGTTTCTTACGAACTGAATGATAGATCTTTCATGGATTTTATTAAGGAGAAAGAAATGAGGTATTGGTTTAGTTTGTTTTGTCTTACCGCATATCATCTTCAATGGGTTATTTAATGCCGACAATTTTTATTGCTGGTAATATTATTTGTTTTTACAAAAATGTATTGCTGGCAATATTTTTTCAATAAATGTATAAATGGTAATTTTTTTTTCAAAAATATATTGCTGTTTTTTTTTGTCTTTTTTTAAATGTATAGCTGTTTTTTTGTTGTTGTTTTTTTTTTTTTGTTTTGTTTGCTTTGGGTTTTTTTTTCTCCAAAATATATAGCTGCATTTTGAAAAAGAATATTACCAGCAATACACTAAAATTTACTGAAAATTGCTGGCAATATTTTTTTTTTTTAAATGTATTGCTTGTAATAATGTATTGCTGGTAATCATTTTTTAAGAAATATTTCTGGTATTAAAACATTTTACACTTTCATAATGTTTTGACGCCAGTTTGTGGGTTAACTATTTACCCATAGCTGGGAAACTAACAGGTGTTACCACCTCCGATCTGGGGACTCTAGCAGTTAAGAGGTTGTTTCACGCTCATCAAAACCTGATCAGAGGCCTTGCTGTTAGATGTAGTTTATCGTCTTACCCAGGACATTGAGGTATTAGCAATGAAAGGATATCCTTCCAGAAGAAAATAAGAAAAACATCAAGAACTCAAAAATGTTAATAAAATAATAAATAAAAGCAGCAATAAGACACAAACCATTGGTAGTGGGCAATTTTTTAACAGGACTTCGTAGCAGCAAGCAAGAGGGAAATTTTAGTTGTTGGTTGATTTTATTTAGCGGCATATCAACCTCTGTGTGTTATTTAATGTCGAAATATAAATATTTCGTAAGCAATTTATTTTTTTTTAATAATAAGTGTTTACTCATACAAATCTTACTCATTAACCCATTGCTGGTGGGAGAAGAGGTGGATTCATATCTTTCCCAAGGGTATTAGCGGGGAAGTGAATATAACGAACCCGACTGGAACTCAACTCTACCAGTAACAATTCCATTACACCACCCGCACATCCAAGTTTACAGTTCCTGGTATTCGCAAGCGATCACCCATCTAGGTACTGATCAGGCTCGACATTGCTTAACTTTGATGATGGTACGGGAGCCATTGTTTCAGCGTGATGCGGCCGTGAACCACCCAAACAAAAGTTAGGAAGGAAAATCCAATCAATACTGGAAAGAAAAATAACAGACATGATCAATTTATTTTCCTTGAAAATTGTTTTAATAGAAAAACCTTAAAAATTTCAATTAAAAGTGACATCAATGAATGTCGGTCAATGAAAGACGAATGTTTCCTCATAAGGAAACGGCAAATATTACCATTACCATACCATCTTTGGAGGCACGACTAAAGATAGATACGAAAAAAGAAACTCACAAACCACAACGCATATATATATATATATATATATATATATATATATATATATATATATATATATATTTAGATGGTAAGAATTTGTAAGGGGAGGAGATAATAATGATTTAGTGATAGACGTCTTACTAATTAGCCCATATCTGTGAGAGATTAGATGAATTCATACCTTTCCCTGAAGTATTTACGCGTAATCCAACTGGAATTGCCACTCAGCTCTCCTATTCACAATTCCGGACCATTATCCATTACAGCACCCGCAAATCCAATCTTACAACACATGGTATTCCCAATCGGTCACCCTTCCAGATACTGACCAGGCTCGACATTGCTTAACTTTGATGATGGTACGGGAGCCAATGTTTCAACGTGATGCGGCTGTGAGCCACTCAAACAAAGATTTAGTAATCAATACTGGAAAGAAAAATAACAGACAGGCTCAACCTTTTTTCCTTGAAAATTGTTTTAATAGAAAGATTCATACCGTTATCAAGGGTACTTGAGCGAAAATGAAAATAACAAACTCGACTGGATTTCTCTGATTTCAAATTCCGACCCATTATCCATTACACCACCCGCACATCCAAGCTGACGGCACCATGTTATTCCCAAGCGGTCACCCATCTAGGTACTGACTAGGCTCGACGTTGCTTAACATCGGTGATCGTACGAGATCAGGTATTTTGTTACTTTGAACAAGAAATTGCTGTTGTCATTCCTTCATTAATTGATTGATTCGTTTTTACGACTTATCAACCCTGTACAGAAAGTATTTTTAGACGGTAAGAATTGTTTTGTTCTTTGCAGATAATAATCAATTTGTGATAAAAGTCTTAGTAATTAACCCATAGCTGGGAGGAGAAGAGGTGGGTTCATATCTTCTCCAGAGGTATTTGGCGGAGGTGAATATAATGAACCCTACGGGATTTGGAACTCGGCATTCCTATTAAAACTTCTGAACCCATTATCGATTACACCACCTGGAGATCCAAGCTTACAGCACCTGGTATTCTCAAGCGGGCATCCGTTGCTTAACTTTGATGATCGTACGTTGAAAAACAGAAATAGATATATAGATACAAACAGAATTTGACAGATAGGTAGGAACGGAATGAGATAGATAGATAGATAGATAGATAGATAGATAGATAGATAGATAGATAGATAGATAGAACAGATTTAGATCAATAACAGATATGAAAAGTATGAGATAGATAGATAGATAGATAGATAGATAGATAGATAGATAGATAAAACAGATTTATATCAGTAACAGATATGAAAAGTATGAGATAGATAGATAGATAGATAGATAGATAGATAGATAGATAGATCAGATTTAGATTAGTAACAGATATGAAAAGTATGAGATAGATAGATAGATAGATAGATAGATAGGTAGGTAGGTAGATAGATACACTCCTGATCTAAAATTTAAGACCACTTAAAATTTTTTTAAAGACTGTTTTTCATGTAAAAATTTTGAACATTTCTTACTTAAGCTTACTAATTTTATAATATAAAAGGTTATGTAGAGAAAAAGTTATAATCCGAACATTTTATTGAGAAATTGACATTTTTATAAAATGAGGCGTTTTACACTTAATCGAAATTATAAGACCAGAGACAAAAATTCTACAAAATTGTACGAAAACATTCAGCAACCAAATTTAATAATGAGTTCTACCTTCACCGGTTTTGAAGACTTCAAAAATTCTTTGGGGAATGCTAGAAATTAGCGTTTCCATTAAGCAGCAAGGAATATTGCTCCAGCTTCTGAAGATAGCTTCACGAAGTTCATTTTTTGTTGAATATTGTTTGCCATTTTGATAAACATCACTTGTCATCCATCCTCAAACATCTTCAATTGGGTTCAAGTCCAGTGAGCATGCAGGATGTCTCAAGAGATGGACGCCACTTTCTTGTAGAAAGGTCAAGGTCCGGCATGCAGCGTGGATTGCACCATTATCCTGTTGAAATAACCATCCATCCCCACACAAACGATGACCCTCCATCACCAACAATGCTTTTTGTAGCATGCTAATATAACCAGCCACCGTTTGACGACCCTGCACCCACCAGGAACTCCATCGTCCCTCTGTAAGAAAAGGCACCTCATACCATTAGGGACCCTCCACCACTATGACGTGTGGAGAAATTCCAGGAGGCATGTTTTTGTTATGCCAATATCGTTGGAAGCCATGAGGACCATCTAGATTGAATTTTTTCTCGTCAGAAAACAAGACTTTCTTCCACAATTCAATGTCCCATGTTTGGTATTCACGACCAAACCTTAAATGGTTCACTTTGTCACGTGGAAGCAGCCGAGGAATTTGTTTGCGCTTTTTATTTACCATGCTTTTTTGTCGTAAGTGTCATCTGATGGTTACAGGATTGCAATCAGCATCTGTGGCGCCCTTAATTTGACTAGAAGAGAGTCCACTAGCTTTCACAACAACCCGTCTTATTCTCCTACTCAATGCCGGAGAAATTTTGGGGACTTACCAGTAAGCTTTGCGTTTCCATAATTCGCACTGTCCTTTAGAAAGGTGCATATCACAGTTTTACTGCGATTTACCTTAGCTGCGATCGCCCTCTGTGACAAACCTTGATCACGGAAATCTAGAATTCGATCACGCTCAACTTCGGTAAGTTTGCTTGCTTTAGGCATGGTGACACCTTTACGCAGTGATTGCTAATCTATAACTGAACTGAAAACATTGGAATTACCCTAGATCTAACAATTTATACCCCCTGGTCTTATAATTTTGATCAAGTGTAAAACGCCTCATTTTATAAAAATGTCCATTTCTGAATAAATTGATCGGATTATAACTTTTTCTCTACATAATCTTTTAGATTATAGAATTAGTAACCTTAAGTAAGAACAAGTTTATAATGTATCCCTGACAGTCTCTTATAAAAAAATTTCAAGTGGTCTTAAATTTTTGATCAAGAGTGTAGATAGATAGATAGATAGATTGTGAAAATGTTATTTCGAGAAATAATGGTTTAGTGATACAAGTCTTACTAATTAACCCATAGTTTAGGGAGAAGAAGTGGACTCATACCTTTCCCAACGGTATTTGCACGTAAGTGAATATAGCGAACCGAAGTGGAATATAGATAGATCTAATTCTTCTATGAGCGGTGACTCTTCAGGGTGTGTGTGTTCATGGTTCTACACAATATCTTACCCTTTGTAGCCCTTAGTAAATGTTGTCTTTTTGCTATCTCTCCTCGTCCCTGTTCTTCCAACCATCTACACAAGCTCTCTAGGTGGGTTATGCGCTTTTTCTTCTGCCCCTCGTCACTTCACTATGTCCTGTGAGTGTCAAATTTTCCAATCCTCCTTTCCTCACCATGCGCCCTAGAAAATTCAACTGTCTCTTTCTGGTGCTATATATAAGTGTTCCTTTTCTTTCCATTTTCTCTAAATCTTCGTCGTATTTGAATATAATGAACCCAACTGGAATTGCAATTCGGCTCTTCGATTAACAATTCCGAGCGATGATCCATTACACCACCCGCTATTCAAGCTGACAGCATCTGGTATTCCCAAGCGGTCACCCCATGGAGGTATTGACCTTGGCTCGGACCAAATTACAAAGACTACAGTCAAAGTCGAATCAAGAAGCAACATCCTAAAGAAGCTAGATAACACCAAATGGGTGCCCATGTTGGTACAATCTGCCTACAGCACTAGTTTTTTGTTAGTCAACGCCAGTGTGGAGCAAATCAGCCCACGATAAGAAATTTGACCCTACCTTAAACACGACAGAAAGAATGAAAAAATTCTAAGCAAAAAATAACGAAAAAAATGGAAAAAAAGCTGTAAAAATATGTGTTGTCTGCTCTTTTTGCTATAACTCTTGCAGTTTCTTGTTTCTCTTTCACAATTTTATTTTGTTTCCTTTCCTTCCATCTTTTTTCCCTGTCTCCGCTAACTTTCTCTTATTTTTTTTTCAATAGTTTACATGAGGCAGATAGATAGATAGATAGATGTACTACTTCTATGCGCCATGTCCCTTCAAACCATTGGAGTTCGTGGCCGATATTCCAAAACGGTCACCCATTTAGGTACTGACTAGGTTTGATGTTGCTTAACTTCGGTGATCGTACGGGAACCAGAAGCGTGATGTGGCCGTAGGCCCAGACGGGATAAAATTACTTACACAGTTTTCATAACCGTCTACAAATCAGTTTAATTAAGTGGGTAAGCAAGAATACCTGACTCCTTGTGCAGCTCCCAAAAGTACCTAGCTACCATGCTTTATCATTACAAGAGTCAGATCAGGTTGAAAATGGAGTATTTCTGCCATATCTGTGATAGAGCTGCCTAAATCTTCACTTTCCAGTCTTGATAGAGTCCAAAATCCTTTATGCGAACTCCTGCCAAATGATTTATTTTCCATCCTGGAACCCCTTTCTCACAGACGAAATTTTGCTGTATCGCTATTTCCATGGTAAATCTTCAGACAAACTCCATTTTTAGTGTGAACAGTTTAAACCTTCACATTAGATCCGCCTTGCCGTGTCCACAGAGTTGAATCAGCCTTATTCCCTACTCATGGTGAGAAGGATTTTCCACTCAAAAAGATTTTTCCCAAGAACCGCTACTTTGCGGAACAGACTTCCGTGTTGATACTTCTCTGAACACTACAATCTTTAATCTCTTCAAGTTCAGCGTCAATCGTTACCTATTTTCCAGATAACTTTAATTTTCAACTTCCGCCTCTTACATTCATATGACATCTCATTCTGTAACGGCTTTTGAGCCTTGTATTGAACAAACATTCGTAAAGAAAAAAAAGGCCAGGTAAACGTTCCTGAGAACTGAGTCCATGAAATGTTTCAGAAGTTCGACGATTGCTATAAAAGTAATGACTCTTTTTTATTTTTGGTCTACGATGACAGAGGTAGATGTTAGTGAGGAGGTAGTAAATTTTTAACCTTCCCACCAATAATCGGGAATTCTTTTTCTTGTTACAGATAGCAGTTGAGCGACAGTCAGAGAACATGGCATCATCCATTCGTAAAAATTGACATTCACTGCCTCTTGCTGAGCGTTTAAGTAAAGCACAATGTACATATGAGCGTCGTTAGGCGATAGTAAATGCGTTTTAGCAGTCGGAACAAACCACGTTCTGTCCGGCTCTATGCAGCTCTCAACGCAAAAATCTACAGTAAATTCTTTTCTGTTTAGCGATTCTATGTAGGATTTTCGACCAGAAAACGTCACTGATCAGGAAAATGGTAATGGTAATATTAACCGTTTCTTTATAAGGAAACATTCGATATTCATTGACCGAGCAGCCATTGCTACCGTTGGTTGAAATTCATAAAATATTTTTGTTAAAACAATGTTTCTCAAGAATCTAGTTTTCTCAAGTCCGCTGAAAGATAAAGATGTTTCCATGATTGATTTGTTCCTTTCTAACTTTTTGTTTGGAGTATTGTGGAAAAATCAACGTTTTGATTATGTCATTATTTTCTCTTTGAGTTACATGTGCTATCCATTTTAGGTGTTGCTTTTGTAGAAAATTCTCAAGTGATGTAGTTTCTTTTATTTGGTACAGTTCTTTGCAGGTGATTCTGTAGCGAATGAGAAGATCTGCAGGATTCATTCGCTCAAATCTACGTTTCACCATCGATCCGAGAAAGCAGTTGTATACAGCCGACATTTTAGATATTTCTGAACGGGTTTGATGCTATGCATGACATCCGTATGAAAGTCTCGATCTGTCGGGAACATTTAAGAACATTGACTTATGTTTTAAGGTTAAAGTTTTGGTTTTGTTGTAACTTGCGGTATTGGGTGGAACTACCCCTATTTTGAGTTCAATTTCTTTTCTCTTACTCTAAATTTGCTAAATCTGCTTCATAAACCAAGATATTTGAAGTGTTTAGTGTTTATTAATTCCGCATCGTGAATTTTTATGATAGATTCAAGGCACATGCCGCCATTGCTTTTATTCCAGTTTCAGACACGACACTATAAATCATATCCATTCATTAAAATTTATTGCAGACTCAGGTATGTCCTTTTTCTAGACTGCCTAATAAAATTATGGAACAGGCTCCCGGGTGGATGTTTCCCGGATCGCTACAATCTTAAACTCTTCAGGTCTAGGGTAACAGTTATATATTACATCATTCAGAAACCCTCTACCTTGAGTGGCTCTTGGGCTTTGTATTGATTGAAGAATTAGTAAAAGAAATAACTGTCTACTGCAGGTGTATTTATATACCGGCCTTGGTCTGATGGACACATCTGTACTGGGTTGATAATGAAATGAAATATAAAAAGGGGGAAGAGGGAAAAGGAGAAGGAGACCAGGGAGAAGTGGGAATCGAGAAGGGGATGATATATGAGGAGGCAGTGACGGAGGAAAAGTGGAGGTGAGTTGGGAAGAGAGAGATAAAGGGGAGTTGAAAAGAGGAGGAGGTGGAAAGAAAGGAGGAGGGGAATGTAAGAAAGGGGGATGATGTGAGGGATGAGGCGTAGAAAGAAGTAAATGTTAATGTGAGTGAAGGGGTAAGCAAAAGAGGAGGTAAGGAGAGGTGGAGGTGGAGTGGGATGTTAAGGAGGTGATTGTGATGGAGGAGAGGGACGAGAAGATGAAGTGTGAGGAAGTGGCAGTTGGAGAGGTGAAGGGTTATTTGACGTTGAGATAGAGGAGGAAGTGGAGGGAGAGGAGAAGGAGTAGAGAAATAGATGGGACGAGGATGAAGGGAAATAGGGGTGGATGTGGGAGGAGAGTAGGAGGAGATGGAGAGTAGGAGGAGATGGAGAGTAGGAGGAGAAGGATAGTAGAGAGACGGAGGTGAGGGATAGTGAGAAAGTGACATTGAAATATACGAAAAGTGAAGGAACAAAGAAAGGAAAAATGAATAGAAAAAACAAAAATGAAAAATTGAAAATAGAAACTAGAATAAAATTTGAATAAAAAAATGTAACAACGGGTTTAAAAAATTCAAGAAAAAAAACCGTCAAGTTGTAAAAAAAAAAAGAAAAAAAAAGTTTAATAAAAATCTCCCAAATAATTCAAAATTAATATAAGAAGGATTTTGGGAAATAATAAAAAAAAATGTAAAATGATCTTAAAACCGGGAAATAACAAGGAAAATTGTCAGTATAGAAAATGTATTTGATAAACAAACAAACAAAAATACATATTGAAATATTACATTACGTCTAATGTCCGCTAGAATGATGGATGGAAGTTGAAGCAGTGAAAATTTGAGCCATATAGTTACGAAGTAAAGATGAGCTGCTGGCTGATATTGGGTTGGGGAAGTTGTAATATTTCTTAAAATTCCTTTAGAAGACATTGTCGGACTGGAACTACAGGGCAAAAGTTGGAAATAGGAATGTAAAATAAATAGGAATAACAGAATAAATAGCAATAAACAGCAAGAGAAGGAGAATTTGAAGAAAATGTTTATAAGAATCTTAAGTAAGTTTTAAAAAACAAGAATTTTAAGTAAATCTTAAGAAAGAAAGTTTATAAGAAAATGGTAAGAATAAAGAATCTGACGTAATATTTTTTGTAATATTTTTTCTTAAGAAACAAGAATCTTAAGCAAATTTTGTGAATCTAGAATGTTCAGTAAATCTTAAGAAACAAGAATTTTTATAAAGTCTTAAGAAGCAAGTATATTAAGAAAATCATGAAAAAACAAGAATTTTAAGCAAATCTTACGAAACAGGATTTTTAAGAAAATCTTCAGAAACAAGAATCTTAAGTAGAAATTAAGAAACATAAATCTTAAGTAAATTTTAGGAATCGAGAATTTTACGTAAATCTTAAGGAACAAGATTTTTAAGAAATAAGAAATTTAAGTAAATCATAAGAAGCAAGAATCTTAAGTAGAAATTAAGAAACAAGACTTTTAAGTCAATCTTAAGGAACAAGATATTTAATAAAATCTTAAGAAACAAGTATATTAAGAAAATCATAAAAAAACAAAAATTTTAAGTAAATCTTAAGAAACAAATTTTATAAGAAAATGATAAGAATAAAGAATCTGACGAAACAGGATTTTTAAGAAAATCTTAAGAAACAAGAATCTTAGGTAGAAATTAAGAAACAAAAACCTTAAGTAAATTTTAAGAAACAAGAATTTTAAGTAAATCTTAAGGAACAAGAAAATCTTAAGAAGCAAGAATCTGAAGAAAATCTTAAGAAACGAGTATCTTAAATAATTTTTATGAAACTTGAACTTTAAGTAAATCTTAAGAAACAAGAATACTAAGGAAACATGAAGAAACAAAAATCTTCTAAAAAGTCTTAAAAAACAAGAATCTTACGAAAATCTTTTGAAACAAAAATCTTAAGTGAAACGTAAGAAACAAGAATAAATCTAAAACAATACTTGTTAGTTGCATAAACCCCACGAGTGTCATAGACCGGATTTCGAGTTGAAATATTGTTGCCCAACGTCAGCATATCTAATTCAGGAGAGCAACTCAATGGACCTTCTTAATCTCACGTTTTCCACTGACATGAAGTGGAATGATTATATAGAAACAATTGCTAAGTCTACTGCTAGGAAAGTTTGTTCACTGCTTCGTGACAGACAATTTTTCTAGCCAAAATCAATCTTGCACGTTTATATTGGTTCCATTCATCCGTGCTTTGAATAATGGTGCCACATCTGTCCTGGAGCTACGTTGAGATTCTTGACAAAATCTAAAAAGGGTTGATAATGTTTACTGACCTGTCACCTAGGCTTGAATCACATTCTTAAATTCCGTAATGTGGCTTCCCTCTGTTTATTTCTCTTAATATTTCCATGGTACTTACTCTAATAAGCTTTCATCCATGGTACCTCAATCGCATCATTTTAAGCGTACCACTAGTTTAGCAATTAGGTCTCATCGTTTTACTTTTGAAATAAGTAGATGTAACCGTATATTATTTTCTAATATTTTCTTGTCACGCACTTCTTGGCTGTGTGAATCTCTTCAAGTCTCTCCCTTCCCTGTCATCTACAATTTTCAAGGCAACATCAATCGCCATCTGTTTTTACGATTCTTGTTCATTTATTGTCCTTTCTCCTCACTAAAATTTTCTCAATTCCTTTCACGCTTAGTAACTCCTGGCGTTTTAGAAACATCTTATAGTGAAATGATAAAACGAATCCTAATTTTCAAGGCAGCTAACTGTAAATTTTGGCGCAACGCTATCTTTCTACGACTATTGTTTCCGTTTGGTATTGCGCTATACTAAGCTAAGCTTTATTGAGATCAAGACAGAAACTGTTGTATATTTCTCAACAGTAGCAGACAGTGGCTTTCGATCCCAGGCAAATGCTAATGCTTGAAATACTGATTTTGAAAACAGACATGTTTGGAAAATCGGTCAAACACAAGTTTGCAACTGCCATCTTGCACGTTCTGGTTGTACAAGGATAAGCTTGGTAAATATATATTTTTAATCATTTCACACCTAGCAGGGCGAAAATATACTAAAACACAAGGAGTTATCGAGGTTAGGGAATATGAAAAAAATTATTAAGAGAGATAAATAACAGAATAATAAGTAAGAAGGCAAAATAATGATCGACATTACATTTAAATTTTTGAATATATAAAGCGTTTCCATTTTTTTTTTTAGATGGTTATGTAATTACCACAAGTACAGCAAGTCGAGGTTCGAGTTTCGGTAACGTCAAAGGTTTTGAAAATTGATTTTAAGACTATGGGCGATTTATAAAATTGGTGAGACGCATTCTTCTTGTATCAATTTGTTATCAACATCTAGAAAGAAAACGGTACGAACTATTGAACAAAAAATATCAGGAGGAGAGTAAAGTGGGAGGCGATAAGACAAAGAGAGAAATGAGAAGTAATCAAAAGGGATTGTACAAATTAATCAAAAATCCAGAAAAAAGAAATCTTAAAGGAATATAAGAATAGAATATATATATATATATATATATATATATATATATATATATATATATATATAAAATAAAAATAAAAACATGAAATAAGGAATAATCTTCCGAAAATGGAGAATTGGGTGATTTATTTTTACGGTTTATCAAGCATTTCTGAGTTATTTAAAAGCGCAATATATTCCAAGTTGTAGGGTAATGCCTATCGTACGCGCTGCTGCCAAGCGGAACCCCATCTAAATTTTGACCAGGCTCGATACGGCTTAACTTCAGTGTTCGGCTGAGAACTGCTTTTTACGGCGTCATTTGACCTAAGCGGGATTTGAAGCAAGAATGGACTACTCCATATGATATTGTGTGTCATAATGATCGAGAAAGTCTGAAAATGCAAGAAAGACAGAGAGATGACAAGAGAGTGAGAAAGTGAGAGAGAAAAATAGAGACAAGAATAAAAAGCAAGAGCCAAAGAGAGAGAAAGAAGGAGTTAAAACAGATAGATAGATAGATAGATAGATAGATAGATAGATAGATAGATAGATAGATAGATAGATTGGTTGATTAGTGGGAGAGAAGAAAAACAAGACTAAGAAAGAAATATTAAAGCTGAAAATGAGAGAGAATGTTAAAGAGTGAGTGAAAGAAAGAAGAAAAAGAATAAGGAAAATTAAGCGGGAAAAGGGGAAGGCTGAAGATAATAAACAGAGAGAGGGGGACGAAATAGGGAGAAAGAATGGGTGTATTAGAAGAAAAAGAATATGGGGAAAAAAGCAAGAACGGGTGAAAGTTGAAAATGATAGAGAGAGGAAAAGAAAGAGAGAAACAGTGAGAGAGAGAGAAAAAGAAAAAAAGAAAAAGTAGGATGAATTAGAAATTGAAAGAAGAAGTTAGAAAAAAAGGAGAAAATATACAGCAGATTAAATAAAATAAAAAGAAACAAAGAAACAAAGAAAGAAAAAAGAGAAAAGCCTGAAAAACGATAGACGGAAGAAAAATGAAAAAAAAAGGAAGAAGACTGAAAACTGAAAATGGAGGCAAAGAAAGAGAGAGAGAAAAAGAGAGAGAAAGAAAGAGAGAGAAAAAGAGAGAGAGAGAGAGAAAGAAAGAGAGAGAGAAAAAGAGAGAGAAAAAGAGAGAGAAAGAGAGAGAGAAAAAGAAAGAGAAAGAGAGAGAGAAAAAGAGAGAGAAAAGAAAGAGAAGAGAGAGAGAAAAGAGAGAGAAAGAAAGAGAGAGAAAAAGAGAGAGAGAGAAAGAAAGAGAGAGAGAAAAAGAGAGAGAGAGAGAAAAGAAAGAGAGAGAGAGAAAAAGAGAGAGAAAAAGAAAGAGAAAGAGAGAGAGAAAAAGATAGAGAAATGGCAAAAAGAAAATCGGAATCCAAAAAGATTGCACTTTCAAAAAAAATGATAGAGAGAGAAATAGAAAAGAAAGGAAAAAAGAATAGAAAAATCATAGACCTAAGTCTGAAAAACATGAAAGAGAGAGAGGAAGAGGAGAGAGAGGAAGAGGAGAGAGAGAGAGGAAGAGAGAGAGAGGAAGAGGAGAGAAGAGAGAGGGAGAAAAGAAGGAAAATGAAAGTGAAATTGTCAGGGACCTGGAAATTGGTCGAGATGACAGAAAAATCGATCGAAATGATATAGTGAGTGGTTGCTTCTGTTTTTGATCAAATGGAGATTTTAATTATGACTATTGGGAAAATAGAATAATAATAAAAAGAAAATTTTTGAACACACGCATGCGCAAAAAGGCGCATGCGCAGAAGACAGACGTACACATTTTCATCGACAAGCATTTAAAGATCTAGATGATTATTCATATAGCCGAGGATATGCACAAGGCCCTATGCTAATGCGTCTACGCTTGCAGAAAGATGCAAAAGCTATCGTTTTACACTGGTAAGCACACGCTTATAATTGTATGAAGAGGAAAAACTTACATACGCATATATGTTC